AATGTTTATTGTATGCTTGTAATGCCCCTGTTTGAAGGAGATTAACTTGTCGGGAGTGTTATATCATGTGTGATATGGAATACAACTGTATCACGAAACATGAGTGCAGGGAACCATGACTGGCAGCTGAATAACCTAATATGTGAAAATACATAATTGGAAGGACTTATATTTTAAGCGTGCAAACATGCAAATATTCCATATTAGACTCTGGAATCCTGCATAGTGCTTTAAATAATATGTGCATTCTTGGGTAAATGTATGCGTATTGTCAGTAAATGTAACTAAATGCCTATGTAGGCAGGTATGATTATATCACAGCAAGCATGATTTGTAAGGAAGTGTTATTGTGTAATAAAATTATAGTGGGAATGTTATGAGGGGAATAACCATATGTCTGAAAAGCCTGTAGTATACTGTTTGACAAATAGGAGTCAGTATAAAAGCCAAAATGCTGTAGTTAGTTTGTTTGCTTATGAAGTGAAATAAAGTCTGAGAAGCCTGTAGTATACCGATTGACCGGTAAGGGTCAGCATGTAGGTGAAAATGCCGTGGTTCGTTTGTTTGTACATGAAATGCAATAATGTCTGAGATGCCTGTAGTACACTGAATGACCGGTAGGGGTCAGTGTCTTGGTGAAAATGCAGTGGTTTGTACATGAAATGCAAAAACGTCTAAGAAACCTGTAGTACACTGAATGACCGATAGGGGTCAGTGTGTAGGCGCAAATGCAGTGGTTCATTGGTTTGTACATGAAATGCAATATTATCTGAGAAGCCTGTAGTACACTGAATGACCGGTAGGGGTCAGTGTGTAGGTGAAAATAGTGGTTTATTGGTTTCTACATGAAATGCAAAAACGTCTAAGAAGCCTGTAGTACACCGAATGACCAATAGGGGTCAGTGTGTAGGCACAAATGCAGTGGTTCGTTGGTTTGTACATGAAATGCAATATCTGAGAAGCCTGTAGTACACCGAATGACCGGTAGGGGTCAGTGTCTAGGTGAAAATTCAGTGGTTCGTTGGTTTGTACATGAAATGCAATATTATCTGAGAAGCCTGTAGTACACTGAATGACCGGTAGGGGTCAGTGTGTAGGTGAAAATAGTGGTTTATTGGTTTGTACATGAAATGCAAAAACGTCTAAGAAGCCTGTAGTACACCGAATGACCAATAGGGGTCAGTGTGTAGGCACAAATGCAGTGGTTCGTTGGTTTGTACATGAAATGCAATATCTGAGAAGCCTGTAGTACACCGAATGACCGGTAGGGGTCAGTGTCTAGGTGAAAATTCAGTGGTTTATTGGTTTGTACATGAAATGCAAAAACGTCTAAGAAGCCTGTAGTACACAGAATGACCGATAGGGGTCAGTGTGTAGGCTCAAATGCAGTGGTTGGTTTGTACATGAAATACAATAATGTCTGAGATGCCTGTAGTACACCGAATGACCGGTAGGGGTCAGTGTCTAGGTGAAAATGCAGTGGTTCGTTGGTTTGTACATGAAATGCAATAATATCTGAGAAGCCTGTAGTACACCGAATGACCGGTAGGGGTCAGTGTGTAGGTGAAAATGCAGTGGTTTATTGGTTTATACATGAAATGCAAAAACGTCTAAGAAGCCTGTAGTATACCGATTGACCGGTAAGGGTCAGCATGTAGGTGAAAATGCCGTGGTTCGTTTGTTTGTACATGAAATGCAATAATGTCTGAGATGCCTGTAGTACACTGAATGACCGGTAGGGGTCAGTGTCTAGGTGAAAATGCAGCGATTCGTTGGTTTGTACATGAAATGCAATATATCTGAGAAGCCTGTAGTACACCGAATGACCGATAGGGGTCAGTGTGTAGGTGAAAAATTTTATTTCGTTTGTAGTTTTAACCCAACAGATTTTAACCAAAACAGATTTTAACCAACAGATTTTACATAAACAGCTAGGTGAGTATAAGGTAACGAAATAACCATGCAAAACGAAAGGAAACCGTAAAGTGAGGACCCGTGCTGTGTTGAACGCCGTGGGAACTAATCCTGGCGCGACAGGTGGGTCAACTTACGGTTTGAGAGTCCCTGAGACACCAAATGCGATGCTGACCAGAGAGAAAGCCACTGCATTAACGGAAATCCCTGCTGCATGATTCCTGGACACAGCTTGGAGTAGGAGACCTCATGGAGCAAAGGTGAAACCAAAATGGCGTCTTGTATGACCTGGAAGTGGATCTCATGCAAATGCTGACCTTGAACAGTCTATTCATCTGACCAACAAAGGTAAGTAGGGAAAGGGGGGAGTCCCTTTTATAGGTCTATAGCCCCTCCCACAACTTCAGGCCATGCCTTCCAATTTGTGACGGCTGCTGGGATTGGACAATAGTTGACTGTGAAGATTTGCCATTTGACCTCAGGTTTATCCTTAAGACAAAATTGGTCTCTATTTTGTCTCATGGAATCTTTGGATTGCGTTGGAATTCTAATAAAATTCCAATACAGTCAGCATCAATATTTCATAAACATTATATATTTATGAAATTCTGAGAAGTGACCTAACCCCGTTAAAGAACTGGCATCCAAATTACATACTCAGACACCGCAAGGGAATAAAATGGATGGATACTTTTCAGAGCTTCCAAACGCAGAACAGAGAATTAATAGGCCAGTCTGACCAGCTGTCCGTGAGAGCGCCAGTCCCTCAGGACCTTAGAAAGGATGCATCTTTATATGACCAAGGAAAGGAGCATATTTTTTGAGGAATATATACCAACCGCAATATACCAAAGAAATCCTCCTTTTAGGGAGGGGATGTGTTCTATCAAACTTAACATGTAAACTAAATAGCAGCTCTAAACAATAGTGTGGGATACCTTCCCACACACCTTCTATACACCTAGATATACTTATACCTATAGTGGAGCGCTAAAGTGCTTTGCACTGTAATCTTTGCACTTTAGCGCTCCACTATAGGTATAAGTATATGTTATACCATTAGAAGATATACCAACCCCAGCCCACCCCACTCTTCAGTCTCCACTTGTGTCACGTATGCCATTGCAGGGGAACAATATGTTTCTAAACATAGGGAAGACACCCTCATCTTCAGGTTTGCAATAAAATAAAATATTCTTTTTTTTTCCCTTTTCAAATCAGAGCATAACATTCCCCATCTTCACATAACAGAAATGAGGAAGTTTGTAGGATGAGCTTGAAAGTGAGGAATGCAAAGGTGTTTGTGAAGAAACTAACATGTTATTCAGGACTTTTATGTTTTATTACTTTGGTAGCTGTAACTACCGAACACCGACCACCCCCTGGCTCATTATCTTCAAAGAGAACAGTCAATTAAGCACTCTCCCAGTGTGGCTTCCGTTTGTATAGTCGAACGCCACGTGCAGGAGAAAACGGCGGCCATCTTGTTCGCATGAAAGGAGGAAGCGGGACTTGGTCGTCGAGTGTCTGGAACTAAAATCAGACACTCGACTTCCCGAACACCAGTCAAAGTATACGAACACCTGCTTCCTTTTCCAGAACAGCCAAGAGAGCGCTGTTCTGTAGTTTAATTCCCACGAACTAGGGGAACAATCGCTGTTATGAGCCAGGCGGTACCATTCGAGCATTTATTCATTTTTCGAACTTTCCAAACTAGACCGACCGCATAGCCTAAACTCATGAAACTGTTTCTGGAGCCTCATGTGCAGTCGGTTAAAACTAGACTTCCATATAATTCCAAAACCCCTGAATTGATCTGGGTGATATTTGGACATGTTGGTCACCCAGATCAGGGCTATCAGGGGACATAACTTTTATGGGGTTTTAGGGTACATTTCAAGTTTTGTGAAAAAAATGTGTTTTCTCCTGCCTGGAGAGAATTGAGTTATTACTGTATCTGACTCAATTATCTCACAGGCAGAGAGGATGGAATTATCCGTTTGTATTGGGAGTGTCACACTTTGTCACTGTATTATTATTGGTTGTAAACTCTGTGTCCCTGTTCCCCACAAGGTCCATGTGGGAGTGCCCCTTGCATGGGGACTTGCATGTCAGGATCGTGACAAGGATCCAACACGCAGAATGCAGACAGGAAGAGGTACGTATACCGGACCTTAGGAGGGCCGGACTAACATATAGACTAGACAAAGAATGGTCAAAGACAAGCTGAGGTCGAGGGAACTGGAGGACAGGTAAGCGAGAGACAAGCCGGATCTAAGGGTAGGAGAAGGTAGCAAAAACTATAATAGAAAGCCTAATCAAAACCAAATAATCACAAGGAAATAAGAGCACTGAGTGACCAGCCAAGCTAGAACCACGACAGGGCAATGAGTTATTGCAAATGATTCTTTTTTTATACCTTGGCTCCTTAACTGGTGACCACGCCCCCAAAATGTCCTGATTTGCGGTTTCTCGCGGTCCGTGACGTTAATGACGTCGGCTATTGGGCGCCGCGTCATAAAAGGGGGCGGAGTTATCGCGGCCGGCGTGTAAACCATGTCCTGATGCCTGACCTCCTCTGAGGTGGATATTACAGGTACCATGACATTGCATAAAAGCCAATGTGGCACCCATTAAAATCATTCCTGTTGTACCCTTCATGAAGTCTAGGGTCATGTTTGGGTAACTGTCTACTTGCTGGGGAGAAAACTACTTCGAACACCCGAATTGCAAGCTATAATCACTCAGGCTCAGCAGTTTGGGAGGAAATAGGTGAACAGGGTATCTACTATACCAGCGTTCGTAACTGTTCCTGCCTCCTCAGAGTGAAATGGACTACATTTCATATGTTACACCTGTAGCCTCTACCCATCCTAGGAAGGAAATGAACAAGAGTGTGGAACTTTGCTTCTGCTGTTGATAAAGGCTTCCTGCATAGCTTTCTTGCTGTCTTGTGTGCAATGCAATCTGGATATCAATCTCATAAGCCACAGGTAGTGATGTCCCGAACTGTTCGCCGAACGGTTCGTGAACGGTTCGCCACGGACTCATCATTGAGTAAACTTTGACCCTGTACCTCACAGTCAGCAGACACATTCCAGCCAATCAGCAGCAGACCCTCCCTCCCAGACCCTCCCACCTCCTGGACAGCATCCATTGCAAAGCTGCATTCTTAGTGAGCTGTCCAGGAGGTGGGAGGGTCTGGGAGGGAGGGTCTGCTGCTGATTGGCTGGAATGTGTCTGCTGACTGTGAGGTACAGGGTCAAAGTTTACTCAATGATGAGTCCTCGGCGAACCATTCGCGGTGAACCGTTCGGGACATCACTAGCCACAGGTATATGATGTCAGTTTTCACATTATTGCAGGCTAGTAAGTATTGCAGATATATAGTTACATATGACACTGAACCACTGCTGTTAAGCACCCAAGGGCCTCACAAACAGTGTGGAAATTTAAAGCGTACATGTAAAAGTTTGACTCCTGCAGGGTGACAATACACAAAGAGGGATAGAATTTGAAGTCTGAAAAAGCACTGTAATGCTACTGTATTTACCTATAATTCAAACACATATAAACCATACAACATTACTAAAAAGATTAACAAAGTGATGGTCTTACGGATGCAGAATTCTTCAGGAGCTGACCATGTGAAGTCTTCCTTGCAAGTAATTTTGGTTACAGTGCGCGGAGCTCGTCGGTACCCAGGCCTACACGAATATTCCACCTCTTGGCCTTTGATGAAAATGTTCATATCAATGAATGTTTGCTTTAACTCTCCATATTGTAATCTGGGAGGGGGCTCACAAGCACCTGTAATAAAAAATGAAAAATTGAAGATTAACCAATTTGATGAGGATTAAAAAAAGATATTGGTTTTATTTTCAGTTATACAAAATAAGTACACAGTTTGAATCAGCAATCCATAGGAAGGAAAATAAATGAATAATGTAGTCAACAATGAAGACGTTCAAGCTGCAAATTCAGCCAAAAAGATACAGGGTGGAGTTAGAACCTTCTATTCAGATGAAAAATAGATACTAAACAGTGGTCCCCGGCTCCACTATTGTTAAAACAATAATCAATTTACAATATCCATTTAATCCAGATTTTAATGTCACTCAGTCAACGAATGCCATTCAAATATGGCTGAAACTGGTATTACTATTGTGGATGGGGAACTTCTCAATTTGCAATAGATAAGCAGGGGGTTAGGCTACAAGTGTATCAGTTTTGGTCAAACCACTTAAAAACAGCTTTACCGAGAAGCAGGGCCATGATGGTTATGATGCCTAGAATGCCTCTTTAATTATATAGTTATCACATTTAGGGTGATAACATTTAGGGTCAATTAGGGTGCACTTATATTGACAAATTGAGGAACCAATGGAAGAGTTTAGGGCAATACAACACATTTGGGAGGTGCATAGACTTACAGAATGCATCAGTACATTTGAGAAATTCTTTTTTCTCTCTGAAACCATTGAACATGGGTCTACATGACAATTTAAAGGTGAAAGCAAGTGGGTGGTTTGTCAGAAAGTGGTTTATCTTTACATTTAAGATAACTGGTGGATGTGCAAATGGAACAGGGAAAAGCACCCCCTACACAAGTAATGTACACTGCAATGGAACATATCAAACAGAAAATGATCAGCAAGACAAGCACTTGAGGACAAACACTAGAACCATAGGCATTTGCAACACATTTTATTAGGTTGTGCACCCAGGAGTTCTTTCTACATTTTATTTATAAAAATGTTATATAAAAGTGAATATTATTCACAATCATTCCAAACACTATAAACTCTACAGATTACGGACACTGTTATGGTGCCAGGACTGTCCTCCCAGTGTAATTTGCCATATTGTTTTAGAACAATTTGACAATCGAACTAAATCCCACCAGCAACTGCAGTCCCTGCTTCAAGTTTCTTCTGCAGGAGAAGACTGGGAGACCCATAGGAATTGTCCAACAGTTACACTGAGAGGGGGTGCCAGAACACACCAAGCAGCATTACCATTGCAGCGGGCTACAGAGGTTATAATGCTAAATGTCCTCCTTTAAATTCTCAATCATATGTGCCATTTATTTTATTTTTTAAAGACAAAAAACAGTGAGGTGTGTGTGCAAAGACTGTGTGCTGGAATGATTGTGTGTTATAAGTGTGGTGGCTGTAATGGTGGTAATTGTGTGTTATATATATATATGTTTTGACTGTGTCTGAGGTGGAGGTATTATGTATGTGGCAGTCCATGTGAGGAGAATAGCTTAAGTGATTTGTGTAGCAGTGCATGACGTGTGGGAGCTTTAAAGTGATGTGTGTGGTGATGTGTAGGTAACTGTGAGTGATGTGTATTGCTGTGTGTTGGTAGCTGTCTGGATGGGGCTATGATCTTAATACCCAGGAGGTCACAGCCCTGCTCACTGACAACTTATACACTCACTGACACACAGTGAACCCTAAAAAAAAAAAAAAAAAGATACACACACACACACACACACACACACTAACCAACCCACAGCGACCAATGCACACTGACTTACACTCACATAAACACACACACACAGACTAACCCATACAAACAGATTGACACACTTATCCAGGCACACTCTAAGACACACAGAGTGACTACTACACATTCATTGACAAACATTCATACAACCATATTGACACACACGGTTACCCATGCAAACATACTGACATACACAGTTACCCATACAAACATACTGACCTACACACACAAAGTTACTCATACAAGCATACTAAAACGTACACACTCACTGACACAGTTACCCATACGAACATACTGAGACACACAGTTACCGATACAAACATACAGGGGGGGGGTGGGGGGGGGGGCGGAGCTAAGCTGCCATGCTGAGCGGTCGCACTGGAGATGAGCTCCGTGCAAAAGCTCTCTCAAACGGCCAGAATCAGGGCACAAACTCACCAAATTGACAACTAGGCGACCTGGAGAAGGGAGCCCTAACACTGCAGAACCAAGCAACAAGCATCCCGACCAAAATCGGAGGCTCCTAACTGGGGATCGACCTGAGGCCTACCAGAGAAAGCCTACAGACAACCACTTATCTGGAGGTCTCCCCGGCATATTTCCTCCCCCCCCCCCGCCGGAGAGGGATATCCCGGCAACTAAAGCCTGGAACACAGCGAACCGACTATAGAAGTGTCTGTCCTACACAGCCAGAACAGCACGAGCACGCATTGGGTCACTGGGAAACAGCTAAGATGGCCGTCCAGCGAGGGCCCCACAAACCAAGCATACACACTCAACCAACCTCGAACCCCCTGGGGGAATTCGACCGATTCTGTGCGAGCCTCTGGACCTTGCTGAGCGACCGTGGAATGACTTACCGTCTGGCGGTGAAACTAGTGGCCACATGGATGCGTCCAGTGACCCGGCGGCGCCATTATAGGCATCCACCACAAGCAACCAGAACGGCAGCCAGACCCTGCAAATCCCGACGAGCCCAAAGGTGCAAAACACCACCAAGCAGCAGGAGAAAGCACACAGGTCCCCACACTCACGAGAACGAGACTACCAAAGCAGCCTCCCACATAAGCTATTCACCGGCGACGGGAACCGGCGTCCAGCAAAGCTCACCTCCATGCCTCCAAGTCACAGCTGCAAACCGGGGAGCTGCATGGCTGAACACCCCACTGAACACCACTGGAGCTGGACCCCGGCGTGCGGACGCCTTCAAGGAGACCAACGTTGACAGCAAGAGACACGTTCATGCACTGGGCATCGGATGAAGAGCCTGCCTCTGTGCCTCTCAAGTAATCATGGCACACTTGCATCTGGAGGGCACGTTCACAACCGGCAACAACCATCAACATATGGACTACCCACGACTAGTAAATATAACTAGCATTGCATGGACTAAGTGTTTAAGCGGACAATGCTGGCAAACTTATAGCCTAGGTACACAGAGATGCCGTGAAGTATGCCACAGACTACCTAGTTATTTTTTTTTATTTTTTTTTTTAGCTCAGGGCCAGATAGTCACTTTTATGTCCACATGTAGTTAAGATGCAGTAGATTAGCATGTTATCACATACCCAGCAGCAAAATAGTCTAAACGAAATAGCTTGAGCTACGAATTAGTATCTTAAAACAACATCTATTGCACTGTTCCAAGCGATGCCTCAATATTGTTTTAATGATGTTTTATAATAGCAAAAGCGAGAACTACACTGTTGAATTGATAATTCTAATAGCCTAAAATTTGTGCCTGACTAGCATATGTCACAACCTGTATAGCAAATGTTTTCCAACCTATCCTGATGCCGCTGTTGTGGCGCACCAGGGCTACTTGTTACTATTGTGCACAACAAAAATAAAGAATTAAAAAAAAAAAAAAAACATACAGGGGGGGGAGTTACCCATTCATACACAATACACTCTTCTTAAGATGCTTCACTGTCCTGGGACATGTCGAGTGATGCCTGTCGTTATTCAATTGCTGGCAGATCCTCTTAGACATTTATCCTTCCTAGGTTTCTACTTTGCCGATAGCCCAACCTCTGCTACTTACACTATATTTTTGGATTTGATGGAAGAAAAAGAGCTTTGACTTTTTATTACAATCAATTACTCGGTTTAATTTCCTAGTAGGATCCAGCATGAAAGGTTTTGACTTCAGTTTGCCTTGGCAGAGGAAACAGCACCATGATTTTTCAATTTGACCAGCTGGGGGTGAGCTTAGCCATGACAGCAATGTTGTAATATGGCAGCACTGGTCAGTTTAACTTGTCGTGTGTATCAAAGGGAATACCATTAAACTGATAATACTATAAGTTGTTTCTTTGTTTTATGAGGAAAGTGCTATAAAAGAAAAGTAATGAGAGCCCATGCAACATGGTCTAAGATTAAAAACTGTCCTTATCTGAATATCCTAAAATGCTTTATGGTGATTCTGAATGAGGAACAAATAACAATGACTACTTACGTATGCAAAATTCTGAAATTTGGGTCCATGTGGAGTCATCCTGACAGGTTATAGTTTTACTCATTCCAGGTTTTTCATAATAACCGCTATCCCTATCACATTCATACACTACAGAAACTCCCACAGAAAATGTTGTCTCCGTAACTGGGTTAGTATGATTAACCTCAGGAGGAGGCCCACAGTCACCTGCAAAAAAAAAAGACAAAATTAGTACAATACAAATGTAGCAAAACATACTGTATTTTGGTTAGGGACACACATACAGAAGAAA